TTTGTTTATGTAGAGGGGATTTTTGTGCCTCAATGAGTGCGTCACCCTGTTCACACCCACACACACGCCTTGCTCAACACTTGGATACCAATTCAATCCTGCACTTCTGGTAATTATCACATGAGGGCACACTAACTCCTTTAGGATGCATGGATGGTGATTTGTTTTTCAAAGACTCATGAAGCTTGAAAAAACTGAATTGAAAATCTTTTAACCAAATGCTCAAAAGACGTTTTCACTCCATCAATTTCAGTATGTGAAGAATTCCAATCCAGGAGATGAAGCCGTAGGAAACATCCTCCAGACGGATGAAAGATTTTTTAAAATCACATTTTGATGAAAAACCAGCAGCTGGTGGACGACCACAGCTCTTCTGGTTTGTAGCAGCTGTACCCAATAGGAGGACAAAGCGCACATATACCTAGTTAAGCCCGAATGAGTGTAGTTACTGAGATTCCTTCAACCACATGTGGCCATGCTGGACATTATTCCTTATCGTCAACCTTTCCTGGTTCCTGCCAGTCACAAATGAATGAACATGAATGAGTGCATAGCCACTTTCAACAAAATGACTCCAACTTCCTCTAAGCCTCTCAACTCTGATTAATTCTTTCAGCTTACATTGTTGGAAAAAAGTCATATTAGGATGCTTTGGCAAAATATTGTTAACCCTCACAGTCACATGAGTATTAAGAAACATATCCATGTCTGTGCCTCTAATTTACAAGTCATATATCATCATATGTTCATCAACTTAGCGTTTTTCAATAGAATATATTAGACTGAAACTCCATCCATTCATGTGGAAGAAAATTCTGAGACTGTTCTTCTGTGGAATTTGTCACACAATAAAAGTGCATGAAAGCTTTTCCAGTAGATGGCTGTAATACAACATTTATGTCTGCCTGAAAATGACGCTGTGAGTGCGTCATTTAACTAAAACAGTAAAGTTGCAGGTCACAAAACTAAAACAATTAGCCGACAGCAGCTAAAACGCTCTGTAGAGTTGAGGGAAACTGCAGAGTCAGATGATAATTCTCTGTGGGTTTATTACTATGAATAAGACTGATGGCTGCACTGCAGCCACACATGGAAGCAACAACTCATGGTGGTAACTCTTTCAATTGTTTTGAGCACATTACATAGGATACAAAATAAATAACTGGACAGAGATTTTAGTTTAAAAAAAACAGTTTTATTAGTTATTTGACATTTGTTCTCTATTCGGGTGCACACATATAGATACCTTTGTCAATTTTACTAATTTCAGGTTTCACCTTTCTTTTTGGCGAGCTGACAACAGGACATCCAACTAAATCTCAGCAGTTTAAGTAGGGGATTGGATAATTGGACTGCACCATATTTTCCCATGTTGTGGGGGTGGGAGAGTTTTCCATTTTGGAGCTGTGTTCATTTCTTTGCTAGTTCTACTTTTGTCGTTATAATTATTTGATTGATTTACCATTAGTTTGTATAAGGTAGCATTGGCTTAACATTTGTTGTAGTTATTGTGGTTTGTTTATATATTATGTGTTTGTCTTTGTGTCAGAATGGTCTGATCAGCCACTATATAAGTTTAACCCATGTCTCAGTCTTGTTAGGTCTGTTTAGTTAGTCTAGGTCTGTGTTAGTCAGCTTATGTATACAAGAGTAAATTTTGCAAAAAGAGCTGAACGGACGCAAGACAAATACTAAGCTGGCCTTCTTGCTGTTGGACTAGTCAGTAATAACTCATTAGCTGTCTATGTCTTGTATTGTTGCGCTTGCTTGATGTTTGCTTGTGTTAGCAAAGTTGTCAAAATCAGCCAGAGGTTTCAAATACCGAGGCTTATAGCCACTAGCTATAAATCTCAAGTTGATGTTAGCAGACTTACTAGATAACCCACTGGGACATCGGTAATGTTACTGTAAGCGTTCTTGCGGCGAATTGCTGTATCTGTGTTGGCTAACTTGCCACCCAAGTTTCAAGCAACATTTTGCTGCTGCTGGTGGAGAGGCTCTATGGACATAACGTTAGCTAGTGGCAGAGGCAAAGAGACCAAAGAGGATGTTGAATAAAAAGGCTGCCAGATAGACACTGAGCTGGTATTCTTTCTGTTGGAATCGTAAGTAATCTTGCTATGTCTTGTGTTGTGGCACTTGCTTGATGTTTGGCTGTGTTAGCAAAGTCGCCAACTTGTCTAGTTTTTGATCATAAGTAATTATTCATAAGAAACGCAGGTGTAAAGCGACAACCTTTTTTACAACAGCGGTGAATTACACTTTGAAATGGTAAGGAAGCAAAATCGCACAAAAATAAATCTTACAGAATGTTTTTTTAAAAGTCCAGTTGAAAATGCACACCAAAAATCCTAGTTTCCTAAAGAAGTTACAATTTTCTACAGGATTTGAGAAAAGAAGTCTTCTTTTTATTTTCCTTAAGGACTTTTTCCAACAGGTTGTCAGTGAGTTTTAATAAGCTTTTAGGGTCATATGTCATGTAAGTCATATAAGCCTTTATTTTGGATAAAAACCAGAAGGTCATTCATATGAGAGAGGGATAAATCTCACAGCTCTACTCTCTGCTGCAGGACCCAAACTCTCCATTGTGTCTCCGAGGTGAAGGAACCTGTTCATACAAGCATGCAGTTATGAGACAACTGGAATGTGCAGCAGACTCAGCGTGGCAACCGGCCGAATGGGTGTTAAGAAAAGAATCCATTAAAGACATAAAGGGACACTAACCCAAAATCCTGCTTCCGAGACTCAAGCACCTTTCTTGAGTCAGAGTCAAACAGAGGCTCTCTGAGCTGAGAGCTGAGTGTTAAGCCAAGTCACAGGTTAAGGTGTGTCCGGAATGCCGTCTGTGTAACATTAACCATAAATCAAACATTAATGATGAAAAAAGGTGATGATGGTGTTTTGGCCTGCCAGGATATGAAGGGCTCTGACGCAGGTCAGCTCACGTGGAGGACCCGGTTGTCCTGGTCACACACTTAAAACACAAACACTTGCCGGACTCTGTTTTCTTGGTCTACAGACTTATTGTTTGCTGGGCGTGTGCTTGCGTGTACACGTCCACAGCTGGTTACACAGAGCACGTCTCAGGACAGTCTCATGCTTTATGAGACTGAAATGGAGACAGGGATGATAAACCTGAGGGTTTTATTCCCAAAGAGTACAAATTTTCAGGTCAAAAATATTTCTTTGTATTCAAAATGATTATTTGAACATTTCAGCTGGTTACAAATCGCCAAACTTTAACACATTCTTTGTAATAAAGGCGAGTATGTTTGTTTTTTCTATGTAGGAAACAGGCATTGCAATATTTAAAAAAGTGGACACATTTAAATTTAAATGAAACTCAACTTTTCAAAGAGCTGCAGTTGAAAGGAAATTGTTTTGATTTTTCCACAAACAACAAATGTCTTTTTCTATAGCCACCACTAAAATGTTGAGAATGAGATTGAGATTGCCAACATACAGTAGTGGCATTAAATTGCCTTTGTAATAAAGAGTGGAATTGAAAAACAGGATGTTCCAGAGTCAGAAGGAGAAACATGGCCGATTATCTTGCTGTTTGCCTTGAGATTTCTCAACCAGTGACCTCTTCAATAAAATGTGAAATGGCGACACAGTGGGTTTATGGTTGTTGACCTATTTTACAGGTGCTGCAGATTGTGTGCAACATGTGTAATGTACATGCTGAAGACTGTGGTCTGTTTACCTTCAATGTGCCGCAAATGAGACATTCAGAAAGATTATTATTCACATGTCCCGGATTTACTGTACACACCAGAAGCAGTCCTCTTCTTATTTTAGATTCTACTGAAAAACCTGCAGACTAATACTCAAACATTTTATTTTCCATTAGTGCTTTCTTCACTTCTTTCTTTCAATAAGCACATAAAATAAACTAGACATTTCGAAATGACAACACATTTTTAATCAACAATAAACTTTCAACATTAAAACATTAATACATAAACATTTTAAAGTGCTTCACTATCAAAAGCGTACAGCTAAGATTTGATACTGCTGTATGGTACAGTAACATGACATCCTATCTAGTTAAATTAGGGAATGGGAAAACCTTCAAGCTCACCTTTTAGGGAATTAAGGGATAAGTCTAGTGATATCTATATTTTTCTTATTGTCAACAAATACCATGAAAAGACCAAAATCAACAGCGAATTGATTTTACTGACAAGGCTGTGTATCCATTATCATCTTGACGGTACACTAATAGGCATGGTGTGTCTCTGTTGTTGCCTGTCCGGGCCAGGGTGCCGGATATTGGCACTGTATAACATTAGAATGTACAAAACCTTTCACGACAATGGCATAATGCTTTATGGCACCAACACGATTCTTCAGCAAGCAAGCTATAAGAAGAAGCAAAAGAAGAAGCAAAAAGTATATAATGTCCACTGTAAGTTCTTTGGAAGAAGCTAGCTTGGTATATTCAGTATAGATTTAATGGCAGAGGCTGCGAAGAGACCAAAGAAGACGTTGTCGTAGGAAGCTAAGAAGAGAAAAAGAGAATGACCAATGCAACAGGCTGCTGGATGTTGGCGAGAGCTTCGTAAAATAAAAGGTGGCAAACTACACTGGGACTAAAAGACAAATCTTACAAAATGTTGCTTTGAAACAACTATAACCAATATTGTACACTAACAATATATCAAATTAATTATCACCTGAATCTGTAACTGCCCTTGGTTTGCTGGAGCCTTATAGCAAATGTTCGCTCATTGTTTAGCTGAGCTGGTCGCAAGTTCTTTTGGTTCAGTGCTCTCTTAGCCATTTATTTAAAAAACTATATAGCATGACAGGTTCTTAAAGATTTACTTCTTCAGGAGGAACCAACTGGATTTAGCTGAGATTCAGAGTGTAGGAACGTAATAGACTTAACTGTTTTAATCTTTTTATGTTGACGATAGGAAAAATATTATATCTCACCAGCCTTATCGTTTAAAATGGGTCTTAATTACAGACTGATAAAATGGATACAGTGAGTATTACAGTGAGTTTGGCTTTATGGTCACTTGTAAACTTTCTATGCAACAGAGAGATTGAAAACAAGATTTTCACTAATATAAGTCATATACACAAGACACAAGACTTACAAAATACACCATTATATACAGCTAAATGCTATGCAACTGAATGGTTGTCAGCTAGGCAAAAGCTCTACTGTTTTTTTAAGAAAGAACTTAATTTTGTCTAGACAATAACCACCAAACTAACATTTCCAGCTTGAAAACCACACTTTGTTCGAAAACCCCTATTTACAACCAGGCACCTGAACTGTCTCTGTGAAAATCTGGTCTCCCAGGGCATTCGGACCCCGTTTAGTAGTTTATAGTCTGGTCCATTAGAGTCGACTCAGTTAGCGTACAGGACTGTAGCCAACAGACTGGAAAAGCAAGTGGGCACAGCTGGACTTGCAGCCCAAGAGATTCACATCCATTGTGTGTAAAGAGGAGGTTAGGAGAAGAGGATTAGGCAGCACTCAATCTGTGCCACGCAGACACCACTTTCTCTGGGTGAGCCATCGTGTCTTTCCACTGCTCCACTGCTTCTGGGGTAGGGCTGTCGAATCCCAGCTGAACCTGCCAGAAACATTGGGAAGTCATTAATCCCTCAGAATGTTGTATTTAATCTCCAAACATCTTCAAATCTTTTTTAAAGTCCTCTACAAAACAGTCTGTGGAATTTTTAATAGAAGAAATAACACAATCCATTTCTTGGAAAAGTTAAATTCATAGGCAATAAAATGCACCCTTATCCACTTCAATATACTCAAGTGTTTTGCTATAACCAACTTGGTCTAGTCAGTATGTTGATATTAATGATGCTGCCGCAGTTATTGAAAACCTTAACATCCTGCAGTTTTAATGCCAGGAAATTTGTCAGTTTGCTTAATAATTAGCGCTAACTAGCATTTATTGCTGCTTTTATTAATATGTATTGTCAGTTGTAGATCTTGTGCTGTATTTTATGCTCTGTTAATGATTGTATGTTGTTCCTCAAATGTAAATCGCTTAGGATAAAAGCGTCTGCCAAATGAGTAAATGTAAATGTACTGTATCCGTTCTGTGATGGAAAAGTCTCTGAAATAGCTTGAAATGACAAGATGCTTTTGATGAATTAGCAGCTCCTTAAAGCAGAAAACAAGCAGCATAAGAACAATTAATTAGCCCCCCAAAAATGAAACAGTTAAATGAATAAGATAAAAGTAAAAATAAACTTCAATTGCAGATATACAGTCTGATTTTATTAATTTTACATTTAGCCAACATTGACAAGAACATATTAAATTGCTCAGAAACATTTGAACTTCTTGCCAAAACTCTTTCTTTCCAAATCAATCTCCAGATTATGTGAAAATGATCAAAAGAAAAGTCTGGTTGTTATTTCATTACGAAAAACCTGGTGTAAGAACAACTCACCTGTCCGAGACACCGTTTCCTCCTGACTGAACTCCGGCTGTAAAGTCTGACTGACAGCGAGCAGGCGTGGTCTAACGCAGTCAGGGGGAAATGAAAAGTCTCCGTCCACTGACACTGACCCCCCGAAGCCTTCAGCACACGAGTCTTCTTCTTAGTCACCACATGCCCCAACTGGTGCATCTCCACTTTGACAAAAAATGCTTCAGAGGAGAAACGAAAGTATGATTACTCACATGAGCCACTCAAGAACAGAGTTGATTTTTCTTTTTTGCTGTGACACCTACATTGGGTGAGTGGTGATGAGGATGCTGTGAGGTTTTGGGCGGCGAGGACCTTGAGTTGGATGCGTCCGTTCACTGGCTGAAAGCAGGTGGTGAGATGCAGCTCAGAGTGGCACACCTGAAAAAGGTGATTCAATTACAGCTTTTACATTTTCTTTTGGTTTTCTCCCAAAAAATGCATTTCTTGTGCGCAATCACATTCTTCATGCCACCCCTGCATAAGTCAGTGACCCACTTAGGCCACTTAAGTCAATACAGTCTGGACATGCTACTGTTTTCTGCATGGTAATTTATTTTCACAGATTGTGGCCAGTGAGCATCAAAGATGTCATCAGCATCAAGTAAACATGTTATCTTCCAAGATGCCATTTTCAAGTTTTGTCAAGACCGGACTGGCTCTGCAGCAGCTACAGGCTTTCAGAGTGTGACATTTTGACCTTTTATCGCAGCTCTTTCAGAAAAATCTGTGTAAATTGTCAGGACAGGTGTTTGCTGTCACCGGATTTAATTGTTGTCCCACAAGATTAAGAATTTTTAAGAAGAATGTACAAAGTGCATCAACCGTTCAAGTTTTGACATCAAACCAGCAGCTTGAGGTGCTTAATATTTAAATACAGCACTTCACCAGGCCAGTTAATATATTTTTCAAAATGCATTGTGTTCTTCCACTTGGAGCAGGGATGTCTTAGACATTACATTTGACTTTAAAACACTGTATTGTCATTTCTTACAATAGCAATTGTTCCATTCTTGAAACTTCTATTTTTCTGATGAATTTCCCTTTTTAAAACTTAATCATGACTCCAATGTTTATTGTGTAGTGATCATAGACATTATAACATTGTGTTAATCATTTGCAATAACAGTCTATCTGTCGGTCGGTCCACCACCTGATTGAACTATCTCCACAACTTTTAGATGGATTGGCACAAATTTTGTTCATGGTCTTCAAAGGATGAATCCTACTCACTTTTATAATCCCATCATCACAACCAACACTTGGTTTGTGATTGGTTTACGACCAAATACCAGACAAACTAATAACATTCTCATCAGTCTCAGCTGTAGAGTACTTTGTGTTTAGTGCTAATTAGGAAATGTTAGCAAGCTAATACACTAGCAATGTCATTGTGAGCATGTTAGCATACTGATGTTAGCATTTAACTCAAAGCACCACTATGGAGCTTCACAGAGCTGTTGGTGTGGCTGAAGACTCTTAGTGTTGTTGTACAATTCGTCTTGGGCCGCCAGCTTCCCTGCGTCTTTTCAAAATGCTGCTGATATTTTTCTTGTTCGAGAGTTCAGCTGTTTTGAACCTTAAGAGTCTCTGACAGTGATTTGGACAATTTGTTCCTTTTGTGTTCACCAGATGGGTAAAGTCACTCACTGTATCAAATTGTCCCTCTGAGAACATAATAATGATTCACTGTCTGATCTCCTAAGTGCAGAAATAGTTAACATTTTACTGTCACTGGCCAGACATGCTTCCTTTTATCAACAAACTACTCTCTGCTATTGAAATGGTTTGTGGTTTGACCTACTTTCCATGTCTTACATTTCCAGAATCTGCACTCTGTTTTTTTTCTCTACAATAAAAGTCTGTTTCCCCAATTTCCCTCCATAATGAATCACCTTTCTCTTTTTCCTGTGATTATGCAACAACATAAAGTCTGACTCAACGTCAATATTACCCTGTTAGGGCCAAGAGCATGGTAGATGCCAGTGGGCTGTAATGCATCATAGGGACAGTTTTATGAGGCACACGCTATGCTTTGTTCTTATTTACTGTGCACATACAAAGGTGTGATAAAAGGCAGCAGCCAACAGAGGAAATAGTGGAGAATAAGTAATAAAAAATCTGGGATATTCCCAGACTGCAAGTTTTTCCTCTTGGCCATAACAGCTGGACAGCAGGCAAGACAATATCAGCTAATTGTTACAAACCAGAATATATTAGGTCCATTTGTGAGCAGCCATTATGAACACTGAACACCAAACGGAGCAGTGATTATTTAGGCTGGTTGACTAAAACTTATTAACTAATTAATTATGGATCCCTCTGATTTTATTTTCTTTATTTTTCTAGTACTAGTTGTCACACTGCCATAATCTAACCAGGATATTCCAGCCCCAACATTGAGAACTTCAAATCTAATTTAAAGACCTACGTTTTTTCTCTGGCTTTTACCTGATCCTGTCCCTTATTTTATTTATTTATTTTAATCCATTTTAATTTGACATTGTTCTTGACTTGACTTGATTCTTCTCTTCGGATTTTGGAGTCAATATCAACTTCCATTATCAAGATTTGGACGCGGGTTCAAACCCCGGTTGCCCCAGCCTTTCTGTGTAGAGTTTGCATGTTCTCCCCATGTCTGCGTGGGTTCTCTCTGGGTGCTCCGGCTTCCTCCCACCATCCAAACACATGCGGACTAGGTTAATTGGTGACCCTAAAATTGTCCTTAGGTGTGAGTGTGACTGGTTGTTTGTCTATGTGTGGCCCTGCGATGGGTTGGCGACCTGTCCAGGGTGTACCCCGCCTTTTGCCCAATATCAGCTGGTATTGGCTCCAGCACCCTGTATGCAGGATAAGCGGTTGACGATGGATTGATGGTTTTGGATGGATTGCTATTAAATCTTGTCCATTCATTCATGGTACCCAGAGGATGAACCCCAAGAATCAGCTTTGAGGTCAAATGAACCTGGTTTTCGAATGTTGCACTTTAGTTTACTGATATAAAAGTAATATACAAGGGCTTTCTTAAGGAAGAACACATATAAATAAGCAGGTTAAAGGTTAATGATATTTTTCAATTGCTAAAACATACTAATGATTAAACTAATGTAAATTTTTAAAAAATCTCTTCTGAGAGCTACTTCTGGTATAAGATAATTACTTTATTCCTTGTAATGTTGGAATTGTTCTCAAACTGTGTTACTATTTGAAACACAAGTGACAGACAATTTAATGGAAACAAAAACCAGAAAACAGATCTAAGACCGAAAACTGACTTTAGTGCCACATGTCTTGATTCACAACATGAGAAGTGAACACTCACAGAGGATTTGGACGGAGGGTTTAGATGAAGCCAGTGCTCTGTCTCCTGTGGACCGAGCTGTCGCAAGGAGAGGACGCACTCCGCCACCGTACGTTTCCTGGGGTTGTATGTTTGCACCCGCAACAACAAAGCACTGCAGCGCAACTGCTGGATATGCAGTGCAAACACAAAGGTCTCTATGAAGGACACATCCTAAAGAGCAGAAGGAGCAGCAAAATCCATTGTTTGTTTTTTTCACAACATTCAGGTATAATAAATCCATCCGGTAATAAATCCAACCTCCCAAGAAAAAAGTTAACTTCATAGAAATGAGTAACTATTAAGAATGTACAACATCTGTATACAAGGATCAAATTAATATTATCTTTAATAAGTCAAATCCTTACACACCTTTTCATTCATAAACCTTCTTCTAAACTCAGCAGTTTAAAACCTGTGCTACAACTCAATTTGTAAACATAAAATCTCAACCTGAAGATAACTTGTGGATCATTTCAGTGTTTCATCAGGTTTTAGACAATGAGGCACAGCATTACCTGACAGTATTCCTTGACTGAACTCTTGAACTGTATTGGTTTGGGGATGGTGAGGATCCCTTTAAATCCAATCTTTTGTTGTTCCACTCCATCCGGAGGAAGGTTGAGGTCTGAACACTGATAACGAAAGAGGAAAAAGAACGTTTTAGTTGAGGCAGGTCAAATCTATTTAAAGGCTAAAGAGCAAATAGGTTTGGGATAAACTGCTTTTCTTAGCAAGAAAGACATACATTTATGAATAAAAAAACTATATTTAAGCAGTTAAGAATACATTTTAAGGGTATTTTGTGACCCCAGTGCCCTCCTTGCTGATACAAATGTCCCAATGACTAGACAAGTGCCCTTACCAAAACCCTAATCTCGGGTGGGAAAGAGGTGCCCCTTTTTCACGTCTCAGCATTAAAGCCTTAAAACTGTAAACATAGATTTAATCTACAATACGCTGCAGGTGTCATTGTGTTTTAGCATCAGCGGGGACAGCTCTGTTTCTTAAAAAAATAACCTTTTCATCCCGAGTGTCCAAGCCAAAGTTAATAGAGCACTGAGAGGAGCATTCAGAGACCTGTGTTCTGGACACACAGAGGGTCCATTGAGAAATGCTACAGAAGAGCACAATGGAGCTTGTTGTGTTCTCATGCTACCCTCTCCTCACCACATGTAACCTTACCTGGACCAGAGTGATCCACACCTGCTCCAAAGCCTCCTGGTAGCTCACTCGGACGCACACCTTCCCCAACTCACGCTCGTCCCCAGACAGGGTGACAGAGTCTGTAACATTTGGAAATGAGACGACAGCAGCACAACAGGAAACAAATCATTGCATGCTATTGCATTTAATATAATAATGAAGAAATTAGCTTATGGTGTAGTTTACACCATAGCTTATTGTAGCTTATATTAGATATACACATTTTCACATTTATTTCAGTTCTTGATTGTGAATACAAATTAATTCAACTACTATGGAGTTTAGAGGGGTTTCAAAGTTGAACAAGCACTTCTCAGTGATATGTTCTACTTATATTGGGCACGAATCTGATCTTTTCTCACCGTGTCATCAAAATCTTGACAAGTTATATCTTTTTTTGTCTCATTTCCAGCTCGATTCAAGCAAAATGTCACAGAAGAGCTCAAGCAGTATAGCTATACAGAGCTATGTGTGATTCTGCCTTTCAGTGCATGAAAAGCAGCATTATTGTTTTATTACTGCATAGTATATAGGACAACAAATGAAAGTAAAGGTAATAGAGGTGGCGATTTGCCATTGCAGTTACAAGACTTTTGTGACATAGGTTGCAATTGAAAGAAAAAGAAAAATGAAAGGAGATCTTTATTTTCATACAAATGATTTATCTCTAACAAGGCTGCTCCTCCTTGTGGGATAATACAATCTTTATGTAAGAAAGCTTATCTCTGAAGCTCAATGGAGTACTGTAGTGAAAACATTTGAAAGTGATTACTGTGTATGCCCTTTCATGACTGCACAATGCAGTGATCTTAATCAGACAGTAATGTCTCCATGGGATATGGGGGGGTTAAAAGTCTTTTTTGTCATTTTCTTCTTTTCTCACCAATGGCAGTGGTAGACAGAGGTTCATCCAAACAGAAAGAAAGTGTTGGAGACAAATCTATAATTTACCCAGGCTGCTTTCAATGGAGCCAATCATGGAGGACGTGCTGCTGAGGACACTGGAGGTGGAGTCGAAGCGCTGCAGGTGAATACAAACACACATAGAGATAGTCAGGACAGCATGACACGTTCATTCCCCCCCCCCCACTTAAACCCAAAACTTTCATTCAACAAGAGTCTACATTATTATTACATTACTACATTATTATTATTATTATTTTTATTTTTTCTCTCCTTGGAGTATGATGCTGTTTTTTCTATCTTTCTATCTACTGGCATTTCTGTTTTTATTTTTATTGTTGATGAGTCTGATGCTGCTTTGGCTACTCCTGTTTAAAGCTGTTCTTAACTTTGCTGTACTTTTCTATGCTGTGCTGTTATGCATGGTATTATTGTCTTTTAATTCTGTAGTTCTGTAAAGCACTTTGGTCAGTCAGTGGCTGCTATAAAACGTGCTATATAAATATGCATGCTAACAATTGCTATTTCGCGCTAAACACAAAGTACAGCTGAGGCTGATGAGAATGTCATTTGTTTATGAGGTAACGTTATGTAGTCATCAGCCAAAGTATTGGACACATTTTTGACATGATGATGGCGCAAGATGAGAATTCAGAGGATCAAAGTTATTCCACTTCATTCTCTGCAGATCATGAATGTCTGTAAAAAAGTTCATGCCAATCCATCTAATAGTTGCTGAGACATTTCACTAAAAACAAAATGAGAACCTCCTGGTGGATGAAGTAAATGGATGACCAAAGTCATTAGGACCTGGGGGATCATGATCTTTACAAACGACAACCAATATCACCTTACCATAAATAATATCCTCTTTAAATCCGTCTTAGCTTTGAAAATACCATCTCTCGCTGGTTCTCAATTCTTTACCTGAACTTCATTCTGGAATCCCGGGTTTATTTGTTTAGATTTATTGCTTTCATTTCATTACTTACTACTGTTTGCTCATAATGTTGCCAAGCTAAACATTTGAGCTAATTTAACTTTTGGATCCATTGCATGTTTCTCTGGATAACAAAGACACAAACAGAAGTGAAAAGTGAATTGAAACGTATCTGCGATGGTTCACAACTGGCAAGACACTTGAGTGTGTTGCTTTGAAGTTGCTCTGACGTTTATCGATGTGGGAGCGCTAAATGAGATACTGTAATGTTTATCAAGCTTTTGGGCGAGACATTAAATTAACTGCAACACAACCTCAACTATTCGTGTTATGTAATAAGGAGCAGTTGACAGGCATCATACACCACATCCTTAAGAGAACAAAGAAATACACCCAGCTTGCCCATTGTTTTCCTCATTGTATTACAGATTAAATACCACTTCGTCCAAGACAATTAACCACTGAATCACATGTAGCAAACTGATATACATTCAGGGACAGAAGCTAAACTGGAATATAAGATGAAGCAGAAATTAATCTCCAGTGACATCATTGCTTATTCCTTTCAGATCCACTTCAAAGGGACTCCATCGTTCACTTTTTGTAATAAATTGAAGATCTCCTGGGGTGTTTTGACTTTTAAGTTAATTACATCTCAATAACTTCTTTAAGTTTTTAATTAAAGCAGTTTATGTGGAGTCCCAAATCAGACATAAAGTAGTTGTGCAACTGAATACATCAATAAAATACACAATTGAACAGTTAAATGGACAAGACAGACCTGTAGTTTTTAATCTTAGTGAGGCATTTCTCCTGGTTAAATAAAGTTATGTGTAATACAGGATTTATTTCCTTTATCAATTATCAGCTGATAAAATTAATTGAATTAAAACTGAGTTATTTAACTTATCTAGTTATCTTTAAGGAAATAGTTTAAAGGAAATAAACTTATTTGCTTTTTTGTCTAGAGTTAGATGAGAAAATCAATAACTCTCTCATTTCTGACAGTTCAGTATAGGGCTGTTTATTAGTGATCTTTAGAAGTAATATTAATAATAATAATAATCTTTATATGTAGAGCACTTTTCAAAAACAAGTTACACATGCTTTAACAAGTGTAAAGACAATAATACCCAAGAGACAATAATACAAAAACAATACAAGATAAAAGCATGAAAACATTGAAAAGACTAAAATACACGTTTAAGATAAAATACAAGAAAATAAAAGGGATAAAATAAAGTCAAATAAGATCGGGAAAGGCTCTCCTATAAAAGTATGTTTTAAGAAGGGACTTAAAAGAGTTCACTGACTCAGCCGACCTGATTTCCTTGGGCAGGCTGTTCCAGAGCCTCGGGGCCCTGAAAGTGCTAGTATTCGAATTTTGTGCAGAACCTTTGGACAGAACTAGGCTAGCAGTTTTCCATTGTTTCCAGTCTTTGTGCTAAGCTATAACTGGCTGCTGGCTGTAGGTTAGCATAGTTCATCTCAAAGTGTCATTGAAGATTAGCTCCACCCATTCAGCAGCACAGCTTCTTTATCAATGCTTCACAATGAAATGTCCCCCTCACTTTGCCCCTTAAATCAAAATACCAGCTTGTGAGGCTTGTTTAAAATGTTCCACTATGCTGCTGAGGGCAGTGGAAACTATATAACTATATTTAGTCATGGTTGACACAGGGTGAGAAATGCTGTGTGAATACAGATTAGATAGAGAACAGTCTCACCTGCATGTGACCCTGAGAGCTGGACAGATCAAACATGGAGCTGCTCAGTTGCTGCTCACCGCCCTTCTTCAGAGTCCAACCTGGAAGCACAACATCCATCCACATTAAGGAGGTTTAGTTAAGTTCTGGGATTCATGATTTTGAAATTACGTGTCAATCTGTCAGCTTCTGTTATTAATTCAAGGATACATACTATTTCTCATCTCTGTGTTTGCAACACTTCTCTTTCTATAACTGCAGACAAACTGTAGAATAGGTGTTATGTAATGATGAATATGTACACACACACACACACACACGTGTTTGGCTGTAAAATGTGTGTAATTGTGGATATCCAGACACAAACAAAAAGATTTCATATATTGCATCACAAACATATACAATTTCATGTCACTGTAAACTCTTAAAATTTTTTAAATAAAGTTCAACATTTAAAAGAGTCCAACATCTTTAGATTTAAATATACAGATGACTGATACATAATCATAACTGTTTTCCTGTAACGTATTTTATCATCATGTAAATATTTGTCACAACTTTGATCATATCATCTAATTATCATAGATTATTTTTCAGATGACATACCTTAATACTGTTCACTTGTTTGGAATTTGTTATTTTCAAATAATTTTGATTCACAACTTGAAAGGAGCATGGATGAAGTTTTTGGTGCGGTGTACTGCTGCATCTGCTACCTGGACTTTGAGGACTAGACTTTATGTTCTTCAGTGTGTCGCGGTGGGTTGAGCTGGGGGAAATGTTTTCAGCCATTTGACCCTGATGAAAGCTGTACTCGGGGCTGTAGGTGAAGTGACTGGAACCCAGCAGCTCTGCCTTCCTCTGTGCATAAGTGCACCGGGCTGAACCTGCAGACAGACAGCGGGGTCGGAGGTCAGCGGGCTTCCATTTGACCAAATTATTCTTTTCAGTTAGTAAACTAAAAGACTACAGCTTTTCATTTAGACACAGGATATCCTGGTTCTTGTCTCCCCCTCAAATGTCAGGTCATGCCTCAGTAACCTCTGAGCTGATTTTAATGAAACTTGGCGCTATGAGTCCTCACTGCAGGCTCGTTGAGCATTGCATGGAGAAAAATGTGTCAGTCCCACTAACCTGTACCTTAACTTAACCCTATATTGAGGCAAGATTTCCTGTGTTTTTTCACCATAGTTGAACTGTGTCTCTGTACAGTGTAAGCTTAGCTCTGGCACTGGAGGAACAAATGTTACCCAGCTCGGGCCCATCCTGTATACTGTACATCTCTGCATTTCACAAAGCAGCAGGCTAGAAAATCAGACAGATAACTTAAGAAAACATTTGATCATTCTGTGATTTTTCATCTCTACATCACCACAGAAACAAGAAAGACACATAATCATAACAGCAAGTCCACGCCCTCAAAATCCAGTTGTTTCTGGCAGCCATACAGTATGAAGTGGTACAGAAACTAAAAGTTAAATATCACTTCTGGAAAATACAGGCGTATGAATTACATGTTGTGTATTCAGTGTAATAGACACCATGATGGGACTGGCATTATTTACCAACCCAACCTTTAAGTCAACATTAACACTTTAGATGGGGTTCTATAATGTTTCTTACCACAGTTCATTAGCATGTGATGTGAGGCAGTGTACATTAGTTTAATCCCATAAAATCTAGCATATACAGAGCATCTGTAATGCAAACAAAAGAAGAACAGCAAGCTGTTGTTATTTTTCAGTTGTACGTACTCTCCAGCCCAGACTGTAAATTCGGGTAGCGGGACCCTCTGGGTTGGATGTAAGAGGCCTTAAAGGTCGGGAGGACAAACGGCACCTCTCTACCATCCGGGGGCAGCTTAGACAGGAGGTAATCTTCTGTGACCACCCTTCTCCCTTCATTCAGCTCCCACCCTAAAGCTGCTGTCTTTTTAGGGGGCATCTTCAGTGAGATCACTTAAAAGCAGAGGAAATCACACAATCAGAAACAAAACACTCTCTACACTGTCAAAGCTGTCTGATATGCAGCTGTGCAGGACGTCAGTTTACCTTGGGTCTCCTGCTCCTTCCCCTTCTTTGTCAAGAAGTTCTTGCAGCAGTCTTTGAGGCACTCCATGGCTGCAACTGAAAATATTTCGGTGTTGAAAGAAGAAGAAAGTGGAAGTTTCAGTTTACACAGTAAACAGTGATACCACCAGGGTTGGAACAGGTTTTTCTGGGGACCTAGGAGTTGATAATACTATCCAAATTGTTATGATGCCTCCAAAGTTTGGCATCAATCCATTATATTCATTATTTGTTATAAATAATTTTGTTAAGAGTGCCCCCAAATCACTAAAGTTTGGCATTGTGTCTCTAAACTTTGCATTTTGATATAATTCAAACCTCTGTTGTAGTGCAGTCCAGCCACCAAACTTAGTGCCCCAAAAATCTATTCTTTTAGACTTGACAATAATCCCCCCAAATTCAATATCATGCCCCAAAAATGTGCTGATAGTGATATTTGTTGTACTTATTCGAAATCCCCCAAATTTGGTGCTCATGCCCTGTAATGTTGATACAATCTGAAAATTCACAGTGCCCTTACATGTAATGCTCCAAGAATGTGTATGTTCCCAATTTTTTTTTAGAGTGAGCCCATATTCCTAAAATTTGGTCCTGTGCCACCAAAGTTGTTGATATAATCCCACAATTTGGTGTAGTGCTCCAAACATATTATATTTTCCTTCTGTTCAGGAGAGTAGCTCCAAAATTTGTTATTTAAAATTGAATATAATCCCTCAAATCATAAACCCCAAAATGTCATGTAGAGCCCACAAAATGTGTTCCTTATATCCCAACATGTATTGAAGTGCCCTAACATTGGATAAATTACGTTTACTAATCCAATAATATATTGTTATTATAATCTTAATTTGTATTATTGTGCCCATAAATTCCAAAATTTGTGATTTGATGTAATACCCCAAATACCTCCACGTCCTCCAAATTTGGTATAGTGACCCCAAAATGTTTTAGTTATTAGACTACAATCACTAAATGTGTCGTTTCAAACCACAATTCGGTACATTGCCTCCAAATGATCTCATGAGCTGTGAGCATCAATTCTGTCGCTTCCACATCCCTAAATTCCACTGTGGTGGATGGACTCAAGATAATATAAATTTATAAAATAAATAGTGTCATAATAATTATGACAAATTGAGCCAAAGAGACCGTTGTCAATGTGTTTGGGGGTCACTTGACAAACACTCGGCTGTGAAGTGAAGAGATTTTAAATGATCTCCACAACCAACCACAGTCAAGAAACTATATGATCTTAATTGCAGCACTTGTTCTGCTATGTGCGGCAGGTGGATGAAGGAATTTGCGTCGGTGTAACCTTGCTAAACACACAAAAGAGCAGTTCATCAACTATTAGGCTATTTCAAATCCCACAATTAGCAAACAAAAATGAAACGTACCCATGCGATGTTTCCACGGAAATAGGTTTAAGGTTGTACATCCAGCGGTGCAGTTAACTCTCAGCGGCCGACTGGAGAGAAATGCCAGTGAGCTCAGGTTTAAAGTGCACTTCAGTTACAGGTCTCTCTCTCTCTCTCTCTCTCTCTCTTCCTCCCTCCCTTTCCCTTCCCCGTCTCACTTCCTGACTCTCTTATTCCCGGACCGACACTGGATGTTGAGCTTCCTTCCCCGAACAGCCATAGAAGCACCACTTTCACTTTTTCTTTGATTTGTTTTGTTTACCCAACTTATTATCACTGTCTTCTCGCTGTCATTTTTATTTTCCTCCTCCTCACTGTCTACATCATCCAGATAGAAACTTAGCCAACATATGGGCTCAGACAGTCTAGTATGTCTTTATTTACCGGCCAGTTTTTACTTTACAGTTTTACAATAGCATGTTATTAGTTAATAGTTTATTGTTATTGTGCCCCCGATTGCCAAAATGTTTGATTTGATTTGATTAGATCCCACTCTTTTTTATAATCCCCCCAAAATATTACATTACAATCCCAAGGAGCCTGTACATGCCAGGGACAGTAAAGTAGTGAACACATTTATTGTTGTTATTGTGCCCAACTCCCACAAATTTGGTATAGCACCCCCAAAATGTGTCACCTGATATAATCCCTATGTACTATGCCAGTAATTGGTACAGTGTTAAAACAAGCTGATATAATCCCCAAATATGTTACAGCACCCCAAATTCACCAAATCTGTGTCCCTAGCAGTTGTTATTAATAATCACACAATTTCTTGTACCACTTGAAAAAATTATTATATTATAATCCACAAACTAGCAGTATTTTCAGGAGTTGAGGAGCCTGCTCATGCCAGGACAGTTGTGTGGTGAAGACATTTATTGGTCTAAAAGAAATTGTGATCGATAATTCAGTTAATGACTGGTTGTGACATCATTTCAGATATTGCCATTGCAAATGCACAATTACACTTCTGCTCAGATGACCGGCTCTCATAAAAAAACCCACAACAATGATGATGGCACTCATGACGCAACGACAGCTCTTGAATTCAGGCCTATAAAAGTCACTTTCACAGCTTATCTGAAGGGATGAAAATTCACAGACAACTGGGGAAAACAGAATGTTGTATACACTGGTATGCAGTGAGGGTAATTCCATCATTTTCAGGTCATTTTCTAAATAGAGGATGTTAGAAATTATACACCATAAATATCCCTCTTTGTCGAAAATCCATATTGCGGCCATAGAAGCTCAGTGTCCATCAAACCAGAGTGGGGTTTCGAGCACAGGGATGCTTTCCCATCAGCCGATCTTAGCTGAGTCTTTACTGGACGTGTCTTTATTGAGGATGAAATAATGATTAAAAAAAGGTGATGAGCTGTCTCAAATAAACCATTACATCAGCTGCAGATGAGTGCAGCTTGATTCTCTGGAGTGATTTAGTTCATTTGGGACACTCAGAACGGGTGCTCTGAGACAAATATCGTCAGACGTATGATGGAGCTGCCTCTAAAGTTGATGACATTGTTGACCGTGACCATCTCCAAGTCCAGCACCACCTCCTTCGGTCCCTTGATGGGCCGTGACAAGACAAGTGTGGCGCTCACATTGCTGGTTTGCTGTAAGATAAAGAAGATGGGAGAGGAATGAAGCGCAGGAAAGGTTTGAATCTGACAGCTGCATATGATGGAAGAAATCCAAGTCTACGGGGTTTGTCATATCATTTACAACTAGCAAACACAAGGACAAAGTCAAGGAAAGTTAATGTGTTTTCCATAGTGCGTAAGGTCAGACGTGCTTGTTCAAACAAGGAGAACAACAACAAGGTAACTTGGTAAGATATGGTAAAATCTTGTGTGGTCATTTAAATCATGTCACAGAGCATCTGGTACTTTGAAATCTGCCTAAAAAGACTCCACTAAGTATGTATTTAACACATTTGAGCAACAAAAAACAATCTCCCTTACACATTACACACACTTGCGCCATCTACTGGCTGTACACTGCACTAAAAGGTCCGGTGCTTCATGTTTTACTTCTTCTACTACTACATATATTTGTGCCTACTTGGTACTTTTCATGGTATTAAAAGCACAGGTGTTGCTTATAACATAAATCTTTCTGTGTAATTGTGCCATGTCTACTGTGACATGTCACAATTACTTTTGGGGAAAGGCCTTCTGGGATGTAAACAAATAATTTAAGAAACATTTGAAAATTCAAATCAGTAGTATTTTTGTTGCAATTTGTTAATGTGAGTTTTTTAAATGCAAACATAGAGGAAAGACTGTGTCTTTAAGTAACTTAATTATGAAAAAAAAACTAACAAAGCATCTATGTTTTCTTCTTAAAACAAATTTAGTCTGATGCTTATGCAGAATAATCACTCTTGTTTGAGATTGAGATTCTGTAGGTGGTGCTGCTTTCTTTGTCTGTTAAATCACGGTAGCCCATGCTTACTACCCAGTTCTTGCTCTCTTTATTGCAAATAAACTGTAGATAAAACCCATCACTTCCTGTATGACATGTAACGAGAATGTCTCATCTTCCTTTGAGAAGTCAATGCCTGCTTGTGACATTTCTCTATGAGGTATTATTACTGCATCATGTTCCTTCGCATCTACAGGTATCAGTTTCAATATCGCTGATGTACTTACTCTCATGTAAAACTCTCGTCCTTCATTGCCCGACTTTATCTGGAAGATGTAGAAAGCACCGGGGTAGCGAGTGGTAGCCTGCATCTGGAAGATGTCTGCAGGCACACTACGCCCCGACGACAAGTCCATGTGTCGGTAAAGAACAGTGAAGGGCTTGTCCCTGCAGGCAGGGTTCTCAGCTGAACACATACACTGACTGCGGAGGAAGAGACATGTGGATTATAACTCTGTGTTAGGTTTTGTTGTGCGATTGTAACAGTAAATGCATTGGAACACAGATGAAGATGCATTCAAAGTGTGAAAGGCTGTTGGAGAAAATGCAGTGGAAATACTCACTTGTCACTAACTTCGATGTAAGGAGAGCGACACTGTAAAGGATTCAGGCATGTATAGCCTCCCTGGAAATTGAAACATACTTGTGCTGTTGTACAGGTGTTGTTACCAGTGTCACATTCATTGATATCTTCAAAATCAAACACACAACAATAAAAGTCAGTTAAACATCATCATCATTGTAATCATCATCATCATCATCATCACCACCAGAGAAACAACATTTAAAAAGCATCAACAATACAGTTACTGAGAATAACTGGAAATGGTACAAAAAACAAAGAGAGCACATAATAATAATAATAGTACTATTACTACTACTACTAATAATAATATAACGTACTGTAATATATATGTGCAACTTGCTTAAATTCTCTTAAATATCTTCAGTGTAGTATTGCAGGTGCAGATGTGCCATTTCTACCAAATTAAAACCTCAAATAAGACACTTTTTAGGTGATGGATGAAAAATATTCCAAACAAAATGGATCAAAGTAAAACAGGCTACAATTATAGTGAAAACATTCCTGATAAAAAAGAATTACGATACTCAATTCACAGCAGTATTTCGAGTTCAGTCATTGTAAAAGTAGCGACTGTGTCATTGTCTTCTGTCCTGAATTTTACCTTCGCAACTCCTGCCATCCTCGTATACATAATATCCAGGTGGACAGATGCAGGAGAAAGAGCCGGGGGTGTTCACACATCTGTGCTGACACAGAAACTCAGAGAAGCTGCACTCATCCAAGTCTACAGGGAATAAAAAAGGATTAATACTCATCAGAAAAAGCTTGAGAGGGTGTGCTCAGTGGCTCAGCAAGCAAACACTACTGCCTAACAGCATCAGTGTTGAACCCGAGCAGGTCGACTGAGGCCTGTGTGTGGATTTCATCTGGGTGCTCTGGTTCATTCTTCACTATAGTTGTTCTGCCTACAGTTTATACGTCAGCCTGTGATACACTGGCGGCCTCTCCAGGGTGTAACCTGCATCACACCCAATCCGAGCTGTAATTTACTCCATCTCCCTGCTGCACAGTAAAGCAAATAAATATAAAATGTATATATAAAATCTAAAGTGTATCCAGTTGATTAATGTACTTTGCTCATTTAGAGTAATGTTATACATGATTACATTGCTATAAAAGGCTAACGTTTACGTAGAAGATATACATGAATATGTGGGTAAAATGTAAATTTGAAAAAAGTTGCATGAGTGTTACTCTAAAGGATGTTAAATGTAATACTGTATACTTAATAGACTTACACTTCAAAATCATAAAATGCAGGTTTTTTAATTAATAAATGAATCAGTAATCACAGATTAGCAGCACTCATATTTTTTATTTAAGTAAAAGTACTAACACTCATCTGTTAACAAATTTAAGCCTTGAGTAAAAGTATTAACAGCAAAATAGAGTTAACATAATATAACATTAAAGTAAAAACAGGATGATCCCTTTCAGAAGGTCATATTATTATATATATATGAAATTGTTGGAACATTATTCCTGATGCTTTAACTTGTAAGCAACATTGTTATGTTAAAGCCGATGGAGCACATTGAAGTGAAAAGTACAATATTTCCCATTGAAATGTAGTGGAGTAGAAGTATAATGTAGCATCAAATTGAAATACTCAAGTAAATTAAAGGTACCTTAAAATTGTACTTAAGTACAGTACTTGAGTAAATGTACATAGTTACCACCACTAGTTATCAATACCAGCTCATCTCACCAATGCAAGAGGTACCGTCGGACGCCAACTCAAATCCCTCATCACAGTTGCACATAAAGGAGCCGTAGGTGTTGAAGCAGCCGTGACTGCATGGTTCATCCTCACACTCATCCACATCTAGAGGAACAATAGTGGACAGGAGTTTAACACAACTTTGGTACACAACATTGTGCGTGTGTGTTTATCTGTGTGACAGCAAAGAAAGAAAAGAAACAAAGTGCTTGTGTGTGTTTGTTTGAGGGAGACTGATTGTGGATTGACACAGTTTACCTGTCTGTATCTGCGCTTGTTTCTGTGCACAGGGCATTTATTATGAGTTTGAGTGTGTGAGTGTGTGTGTGTGTGTGTGTGTGTGTGTGTGTGTGTGTGTGTGTGTGTGTGTGTGTGTGTGTGTGTGTGTGAGAGCGTGTACCTTGACAGGTCCTGCTGTCTGGGTTAAGGATGAAGCCGGGGTTACAGGAGCACGAATAAGAGCCAGGGACATTGGCACACAGCTGTTGGCAGTAACCATAGCGACATTCATCAATATCTGGTCATAAAAGAAAGAAAGAGACAAACTGGTTATGAACTGAATAACACACACACACACACACACACACACTATACATGTTGTTAAACGTTTGTGTGTGTGTGTGTGTGTGTGTAAAAACAGACTGTGATGTGAATATTACTAAATAGTTTACATTTTATTATCTTGACAATTCATTGATTTGATTTAGCACAAACTTTGCTGAGCTGCTTTACTGCACATAACTAGAAGAGGGTGCTGTTCTTCTAGAAGAGAGCTAAAGCTTTCAGAGGTCACATTGGCTTTTTGTAACTAAGAAAAGAAGCAGCATTGCCTTTTCTACATTATCCAACATTGCTCACAAGTGATGTGGTCTTAATAATAGTAATAGCTGCACTAATATCCCTCCATGGTCTAACTTCTGTACAGTTAGTACACTTAGGTGGTTTAGATCATTAACTATAAATCATGAGTAATCTATTTTACTGCCAGATCAGTTTTTTCAATAAATAATTGCTCCACTTTTTTCCTCTTTATGGTATTGAAAAAACTCTTTCTTCTCTGAATTCACAGGATCCTTTTCACTATGTTGGATTACTGTTTGCCTTCCAAGTTTTTTATTTCCAAACAGTGTAGCTTCTGAATACAATTCCTTTTTGCAAAACAAATTTGACTTTCACTTTTCTTAAATACGCCATAATACGTAATTGGCTAAAATATGCGAAATCACTCGTCCACAATTAATCATTGTTATGCTACAATTTGCTCACCCTGGCACTGTCCACCAATGAGCCAGTATCCTTCAGTGCAGGAACAGGTGTAGCCACCTGCTGTATTGATGCAGACCTGGGTGGGGTTACAGTGATGGGAGTTTGTCTCACATTCATCGATGTCTGAAACAGAGAGAAGGAGCAGAGTACAGAGAAAATGTTAGATGGGGTGGCTGTGGCCTAGGGTGTAGAGTGGGCGTCTACTTATCAGAAGGTTGGTGATTCCATCCCCAGGTTCCCCATGTCGAAATGTCGTTGGGCAAGACACTGAACCCCAAACGTGAACATTGTGAGTGTGTATGAATGAGTTAAATCCTGTTTCTGGTGAGCAGTTGGCAACTTTGCCTCTGCTCATCAGCGTGTGAATGTGATATAATGTAAAGTGCTTTGAGTGGCCGAAAAGACTAGAAAGATACAGCTGTCAAATCACATAAAAGAATCACAAAACAACATAAGGACACTTAACTAGATCTTATAATAATCTTAACTACAAACTAAACTAAAAACTTAGTTCAACTCTAAATATATATACATTGGCAGTGGCTGGTAATATTTTATCTGTTGAATTAGTTTTTAGAATCTACACAAAAGTGACAGCCTCCTTTTAAGCAGTGGTTGGGTTGAGTTAGGAAACGTTGCTGGATGTATAACCAAACAGAAAACTAATTTCTCATGTATATTTCTCATATATTCAATGTTTGAATGACATTGATTGTATTGATTTTCATGTGGGAGTTATGCTTTTGCTTTTTTGCTTTCTCTCAGAATTGTTTGTCTCTATTTTAGTTTTTGGTTGATTCCTCTTGTCTCTGTGTTTCAGTGTGGCGGGAATGGGGAGTTCAGTTTGGAAATAGGTTGTCTTCTTTTCTGATTTACAGTACTTATGTTATATTCCCCTAAGTAGTACTGCAAGTAATAAAAGTTACACAGTCTAATGATGTTAACTCTACTGCAGCTTTTCAGGGTTACATGCCTTGCTCAAAAACATGTCCACTAGACTACAATTTTCCCTGCAGGCTCGGACATTGCACCCACAATCTTCTGGTCAAAAGTCTGTTTCTCCAACACTCAGGTTTTCACCACGTTGTGTTTAAAGAACTCTTAACATAATAGTTAACATTTCAATAAAGCATCAACTTACAATTGTTTTTGCAAAAGATTAACGATTTCTCAGATTACAGTATGAATTCCTTTAACGCCCCTGGAGCTGCTCGCCCACTTCATCATAATAGCCACATTTCCTTATGAGGATATGACAAATCAAAATTTCCAACCTCTGTTTATGGTTCTCAGACCATTAAGTCACCAATCTCTAGAAAACTGGTGGGGGAAATGGGTGGGAGCTTGGCTTTCTGTTTGGACAGCCAGCTACGATAAGTGATAACGTCTGTCGGTGGGGCCGTTGCCCTTTGTGCCAACTTGGACCACCAGCCCTTCATGGGGGTGGTGGAGGCCTGAAGAGCTCGGCCGCCTGCCAACAGCTACACGGCCCCGGCACCTGCTTGCAGTTACCAGTCAAAACCTCTCTGAATGGTCTTCATCTGCACCCCATCTGTAGCCTTACTGCAGAACTCCAACATACACACACAGGCTGCAGGAGCATTTCAGTTCAGCTCCTTATATAGACTGTTTCATGAGCTGCCGAGGTCACAGCTGACCATCCTGATCAGCTTCAGGGGAGACATGACAGATGGGATTTGTTTTAAAATGATTGAATGTTGGGCACATATAGGAAAACTGAGAAAACTTGAACAGCTGAAAGATTTTGACACCAGATTTTGTATACAAACTGATTCAAAATAATCCCCAGTGGCTTTTAATGCCAGGTCTGCTTGGTTGCAAGGATTAACATGTCAGCTGTGTTCATCATCTACTCTCAGAAATACACTGAACACTGAATGTGATCATAAGCAATTTATAACAATGAGAAAATAGTTCTTGTTTTCAGATCTATCATGCATTTTTTAGTTTATCCACTGATTTCAGAAACCCACAAGGTTTGAAATGTTTCTAAATCCAAGAGGAACATGTAATCCTTCAACTCAAGTAAAAACATTAAAATCCGCAAAACTGGAGTTACGAGCGGAAATGAAAAGTACAGTCACATGTGAAATTTAAAACACAAGACGAGAGCGTATCTGAACTCTAGAGGCATCATTTGACATATCTGACTTACAAGATATAGGAGGGTCTCTAAAAATGTGCTTGAGCAGTCTATCTGCTTGGTCATGCAGGTAGTTTTGAAATATCTGTGTCTAAAATGTCTGCAATCAATTCAATAATTAAGGAGAATAAAATATAATTTGTTCGCCACAGTGAATTGAAAAATTATGAGAATATTATGTGAGAAAAATTCAAAAAACAATTATATTTTGGAATACATTACATTTCATTAGCTGACGCTTTTATCTAAAGCAACTTCCAGTTTACATTCAGCCATCTGGATACAATCCAAAAATTGCTAGAATCATGCAAGTACATCAGCTTCATCAAATATGCTGAACTGCTTCAAGTACAACATTTAGAAACAATAAGAGAAGAGTTTCTCTTTTTCTTTTTTTTTTTTTTTTAAATGGGCCATGGTGCAGTCTGAACCAATATTATACAATCTGGGTTGCGTACTTATGGTCTGGGTTAGGCAAGGCCCCTTAGTTCCACTTAAAGGAATAGTTTGCCATTTTGTGAAACACACTGATTCACTTTCAAGAGTATGATGAGACCTACCATCACATCTTTATCCATCGTCAACCACTTATCCTGCGTACAGGGTCGCGGGGCACATCTTTATCATGTTTGTTTAATACATACAAAAACCAAAGTGTAAAAATAAAAAGTTGCACAAGACTATTTCATGGCTTTTTAAACCTTCATATTTGTTTGGATAAAACAAACAAGATGTGTTCATTTGTGAGCTTTAGTAGTGCTGGTAGGCATTTTCACCTTTGCACAGAGCCAGGCTTGCTGTTTTCCCCTGTTTCCAGTCTTTATGCTAAGATAACCGGCTTCTGGCTACAGCATCATATTTATCGTACAGACATGATAGTGGTATCAATCTTCCGAACTAATGCTCGGCAAGAAAGGAAACAAGCATATTTCCCAAACAATCGAACAATTCCTTTAAGGAAAATCTTAATGCTACAGCGTACAATGACCCTTTAGACTATAATGTGTGTTTCCAACTTTGAGTCACAATTTGGGGAAAGTCCTTTTTATCTTTTAACATCACAATGCCCCTGTGCACAAAGCCAGGTCCACAGAGAAATGATTGGTGTGGATGAACTTGGCTGGGATGAACTCTAACGCCAACTATAAGCCAAGCCTTATCACCTGACATCAGTGGCTAACCTGCAATGTTTCTTTCCAGAAGAGTGGAGGCTGTTCCACGTGGTTTTAAAAAGAGATCTTCAGCAATCTGCTGTTACTGAGAGAGGGCTAATAGTGTAACACACCATTAAACTGCTTGTAAAATGCCTTTGTAGTACTATCTGGCCTCGGAAAAACAAACCCACATATGTATAAACCCATACCTGAGGGATAATTTATTCTATTGATCTCCCAGACTGGTGCCATTAGAAACAGTGATGGAGCATATAGTGCCATTCACCTAAAGACAAAGCCATGTTTGTTTCAGGTTCAGACAGGAAGTCACAGTAATTTCTGCCCCATAGCAGCATCAATCAACAACTCATTACATCACTACACACACACACACACACACACACACACACACACAAACACACGAAAGTCTGTTCTAGGCACAGAATTGGCAACACATGACCTCATCTTTGGCACCCAGATGGTGTAGTTTACCCAAACAAGGTTGTGAGCCGATTCTCTGACAGCCTTTTCCCCCTACAAAGAGAAACAGTCCGTATTTGTGCATGAGCTAAAGTCTGAAGCTCTCTTTAGAGGGAGAATACTGTACTATATGTGTACATTTTCCACTCATTACATGGTCACGGCTGATTTACCCAAAATGACAGAAAAAGCCCGAAATGGACTTTAAGGAGGCCATTTTCAACAGCTTGTCCCAGCTGGACACAATGGGGTAATTATGTTAAGATGTATTCAAGACAGCTGGGTGGAGGACATCAGACATTTAGTGTTTATCTGACAGCTGGTAAAAGAATCAATCAGAAAGCAGAAATGTCCTCACTGTGAAGAGTTAAAGGCCCCACTTCTCTAGTTGGGTGACGGCAGACATGACACTGTACCGAGCATCCAAACATCTGTCCCTGCAATCTGATGGATTCATGCATTCCCCTGGAGTTCAACCACAATCTTTTATGACTTACACTAAAATTCTGGCCTCTATTGCCTTTCCCTCGTGTCACCTCGTCCATCTAGTTTCGCTTCAACATCTGATAAACAGCAGGAGGAGGCAGAAGTGGGGACAGTCTTTCTCGAAACATTCATATCTTTCAAACAGAGATTGCAGCCAAGGGGCTAGAAACTGCAAACAGCTGCAGCAGAGGCCGGGTCATCCACCCGTGCATCTTTTGCGGGTAATTATGTAGTAATATTTCTTAAAATTTAATATGAACACTCACTACACTCTTACGGTACCCAAGATACCCCTAAAATGAAGATCCCATGACTTTGAATACACAGTGTTGAAGAGTCAAATCTTTGAAATGTTCTTATGAACTTATTTTGCATCTTTAGGCAACTAAAGCATAAAATCAAACAATCTGAGAAGGGAAAATCACTCTTTGAACTAGCCATCAGCGGGTGACATATGTAACCTCTGACAAAGAGGTTGCAAGTACACATATCTTTATTTTAAGGGGTCACAATCCCACTCTGCAAACACTGTGGCTGCAGAGACAGTAAACTGACTTTGGGCTCACTGCCTAAATTCACTATCTGGGATGGATGGAAGTACATGCTGACCCACAGCAAAAACTAAACAATGTTTTTGTGTGGCTGGTATAAACAAACAACTGAAAACAATGAGCAGCCATTTTTTTAAAAATGCTAAAGACTTTTGATAAATAAGACCCAGAGACAGGGTGAAGGGGTATTTCCTCCACATTTTTAAATATGTGTTGACAAGAGAAATGAGGTTTGCTGCACAGCTTGATGTAACGGCTGCATCAGTCTTGCCACTAGTCTTATATTAGTCTTAAGCCTTATGTGACACACACACATATACATTTATACATGAACCTTCCTGAAATATGTAAACCAGACCAATTCAGTCTTACAAGGAGGTTCAAGTAAATCAGATTAAAGTAAATAAGTACTTACTCAAGTATTGTTCTTAAGTACGCGGTTGAGGTACTTGGATTTTACTTCAGTATTTCCATTTTATGCTACTTTATACTTCTACTCCACTACACATTACATGGGAATATTGTACTTTTTAATCCACTACATTGATCAGACAGTTGGGCTTAGTAGTTACTGTACAGGCACAGATTGGCACTGATTAAAACACAAAAATCTACCAACCTTTTTGGCATGGCCTTACAAAAAATCAGTGTCTAGTTGGGGCCCATTGACATGATTCAGAGGTCTATGAGTTGTTAGCAGTTCCACCAAAGAGATATTTCTCCTCTAAACTTCTCAGATGGTTTCACTTAAATAACAGTTGGAGACCAAAAAAAAAATCCAATATTTCTGAACAAAACCAGTAATAAAAGATTTAAAAAAGAGTAATAAAAAAATCACTTTGCCCTTTCTTCTTTCCTGCACCTTTAACCATCTCAGGACCCCTTTGATTTCTCTTGTGAACCACAAATCACTGGACTAATCTACAAAACTTTATAAAGTAGTTAAAAATACTTCCACCTTGTAAGCTACAACAGTAAAATGTTGCATAGACATTTACCGCAGTATTAACACTTACATAATGAATAGCCTGTATCAGTCACATTTTTTCTAAGTACTTTAACTTAAGTAGGATTTTGAATGCATGACTTGTAGTATATGCACTGGAGTATTTTACTTAAGTAACAGATCTCAGTACTTATTCCACCACTGCAATGAAATGTAAGTGCATGTCATGTTACTCACCATTACAGGTGCCATCCTCTGCAGGAGTATATCCCAGGATGCACTGGGCAGTGGTTCTCACCCTGGGGTAGCTGGGCTCCACAGATCTCGGAGGAGCTGGGAGGAAGGTGTCTGATGTGTCCGGGTAAACTGTCTCAGGGAGGACCGGGGTCTCCGGTCTGTACGGCTGGTTGTACAAGGTCCTCGGGATGCACAGGTAGCCGCCGTTCTGATTTACACAGCGCATGTCTCCTCGGCAAGCATCTGGCGTGGTACGGCACTCATCCACATCTGGAATACAGAGAGGTGCACTGATAAGGCCAAGACTGCATCCAGGACATCTGTGGGCTTGTAATCCACTTATTTCTCACTATATAATAACTGTAGTGTATAACTACGACTTTTAATTAGGCTACATGTCCAAAAATTTAACTTCTCAAACACAATATGAGAGTAGAAGACATGTCACTCACCTATACACTGCCTTGCCCTGCGGTCATATGCAAAACCATCTGTGCAAGTCTGAGGAGAGATGAGAGGCTGTTTGAGTGTGTTTGCCTTTTTAACCATGATTCATGCTACCTGGAGTTGTTGAAATTTCTGACTAACTAGCACTAAACCATTCATGCAATATAGCTTCCCGTGAGACCTCTAATACAAACAAATTAAGTTTTATCTGTTAGTTTCTGCACTTTGATCTTTATGTACTCTGACTGATTAATCGCAGTTTCCTTGACCACATCAAAATGAGATGGCACAACAACACATGCAGACTCTAACCATGACCTTGGTCTAAATGAATGAAATGACTTCAGTGAAAGAATGTGTTAGGTTACCTGTCCGTGTCCAGGCTGGATACAAAGCAGAATAAATACCAGAGCTGCCAACATCCTGCAAAGAGGGGATTTCAAGTTTTTAAATTGTTCTCAGACAGCGTCGTTGAAAAACCAGGAACTCGGTGCAAGCATCCCGTTACATATTCATTCAAACACACAACTAAAGCAAAAACAACTAAACTAAGTACATTACGCAAAGGTAAAGCCAGATTTAAGATTACTCACCTTGCAGAAGAGCAAAACCTGAAGCCACGTATTTCAAAAAGCATGGTTTATGGTTTCTCAAAGGAAAGATTTAGACGACCCGTAACTTCTCCCCAAATCCCCTCGCCACTTCCCAGCAGGGCTCTCACCACCCCCCAACTATGCGCCTTTACGCGAAAGCCACCAGGTTTTCATTAACCGCCGTCTGGTCGAGTTGAAGCTTCGGTACATTGACCAAGTGTTGCAAGAATGCCTTTTCAAAACGGACTGTTCTGTTCTGTCCCACTCGGTTGGCGCTACAGACTATTTAGCAATGCAAATTGACTGGCCCCCTCCAAGCACTTTCACAACAGCTGGATTCAATCAGGGAGAGCCAGCCCCCTCCCGTCAGAGCAGAGAGACAGCAGCGCACTCACTCCAACAAGCTGCTCCTCCTGTGCTGTTGGGGGGCAAGAAGGCATAAAGCATACAGAGCGGGTGTCTGTTTTCCAAAGATATAAACAACCCCCCACTCCCACACGACTCCTTCTACAGCTGACACTGCACATCTGGCGTAACCAACCCAAGCTATCTGCGCTGTAGTAGCCACATCTGGTTTGCATGAATGCACGTTAAACAAAAAATGACAATGCACAGCGGTAAAGGGTCAGCAGTACCTTTATTTGATTTGAAATTCCAATTAAGTCTCAGGTACTAACCTCCGTTCAGGATCATCCAAGTTCAAGGTATTCCAGCATCTGTTTGACACCTCTGAGTTTCAAACTGTTACATCTACAAAAAATCTTTTACAGCGAGGATTTACAGTTTATACATTTTATCAATACACCTGGAGAAATCCTGTAACATTCCTTCTGCAGAGGCTGACTGATGTCTATACAAAAATTTAGAGCAGCTCAGTTACATGCTGGCCAGCTGTGGTAAGGTAAAACTTTTAGAATGTTTTTACAGTTTTTACATTTTGTAAATATATATATTTATATTAACCATTTACAATCCTGATTATACAACTATCTAATTAGCAAAAATGCAGGCACTTAACTTTCCGAAACTTCCTTAGTGCCCATAAATAGGAAAAACACCACCCATTTACATATATATAACTATATAATAGTACTGTACCTAAACATAACAGCAGTCTCAAGCCTCTGATCAACCACAGTTCGCAGTTACAGCCATAATTATAACGCTTGGTGCATATCACAGTCTGGCCGTCTGGAAAAGACAAGATTTAGCAAAAAATGCCTTTATGGTTTTAACAGATGTACTGAACCACATAAATCTCTACACAGGCTACTGCTGCCAGAGAGTTTTTAGGCAAGTCCTGGACCAGAAACAATTCATTGCATTGTTGAAAGGAAAAAAAAAAAAGACTCAGAAGACAAGAAATTAAAAGTTGTTCATTGCAAGTTAAAGTATGAAAACTGAAGATGTTTCTTCTTGCAAACAGAGGCAATGAAGTCAACACACGTATTGAACTGCACACAGTGAGTTTACAAGGTCACTTGTGTTCAGAATTGGTGCGATGAATGAAAATAAAAATGTAAGACGGAGCTAATAATAAAAAAGACAGTTTCTATGAAAATATGCTGTGCTGCTCTCACTCTGAATGACCCACAACTTGAAAATGTTCTCACCCTGCCTCCTTTTTGCACGTGGAGTCACATTGATCATTTTCAACTTGTAGGTTAACACCTAACCCTAATGTTGAGTGGGAAATACTTTTACTGATGTGTAAAGGGAGATTATGTTGCATAGAACAGTAATTGCAAGTTAAACTTATTCTAAAAAACTAAATTTAGTTTAGATTCCCTCACAAAAAAGGGAATATTAAGCCTTCATGAATTCTCTGATCCTTTATTTTTGCAGGAAATTTAAAAAAGCAGCAATAAGTAGCAGAACTGCTCAAATATCTGTGTAGTGTAACACTCATGTCTATATGGGATTGATCACTGCTTTAACAAGTCTTTGAGCACAGCTCCAGCACTGGCGTCAGCTGAAACCGGCAGAGGTGTGAAGGACGGCAGGGCGTCAGAGATGGGCTTCATTAGCAGGTGACCTCCTGAGCCGCCAGAGCCAGCCAGCAGGGGCACCGCAGCAGAGCGAGGGGCCAGGAAAGGATTGGAATCGCCGGCTCGCTTGCTGACTGCTGCAGCTCCTGTGCAGAGAGAGGTTTACATTTAAATAAGGTTTGATCACTAAGAGTAAGAACAACGCCTCCTGTATGACGTGACTGATTAAGCACACAAAACAAGACATCCAGGCGTTGGTTGTTTACCTGCAGCAGTGCTGGAAGCAGTACTACTGGTTCTTCTCTGGGGCGGGGCGCTCAGAGCTTTCATGTCATGGGCCGAAAGCTTTGGTGCGGGCAGTGAAGGGGTCGACTCAACCTCCAGGAACTTTACAAACATCTCTGAGAAGGACTGCAACAACAAAGGACAGGGCAGTGTGTAGTGCTGATTTAGTGAGATATTTAACCAAGAAAATTCTGCTTTATACCCTAAAATAAAGAGCTAGCTTCAGAATAGCATCCTGTTGAGGAATCAGAGTCTTGCTCAAGGACACTTTAGCAGAGCACAAGCGTGCCAGGTGAAGAGCAGGTTTCTAACCAGCTACTCCGTTGCCATAAATGTGTATCTGTGCAAAAGTGGGTCTAAGTTCAGCAGTGGCAAGATGGATGGTGCGTGTGTATATATGTATACAAGGCAGTATACATGGTGGAGACTTTTATGTATGTATGGTAGAATATGTTGTAATGTACAATGTGTATGCTTTCCCTACACAATTAAATATTCTGTGTTTTGACAGAAACTGTTTTCTTTCAAAGTTTTAGGTAGTGATATTTTTACATTTTGGAGCAAAACAAATATATTTTTTTAAAGCATAGATTTTCTAATTAGAAAAGAAGTTTGTCAGAGCATGGGTGTGGCAGGGCTGTCGTGTTACTTGCAACGCTGAAGTGTACAGTTGAGAACATGTTGTCAAACAGAGAGAGCATTTGTTTTTTATTTTTGATTTGTTTCCCCATTGCATTTTTGGAACTGTATTTTTCACAAGAATTCATTAATTATTTTTTGTAATGGTTAGGGTGCTTATCATGCTCACTCTGGACTCTCCCCTGGGGAAGCATAGAGACCCATTGAATTATTTGTTTCTTCGGTGTCTGATGTCTGGTGCTTTGTGATAAAGAGCTGAAAGAAAGTCCTAAGAAGTGTGGGCCTTGTCCGTTATACAACACAAAGCAGAGTTAGACCCCTTACATGTGCACTTTTCTGTTAGTATACTGTATTAAATATAATCTGTGTGGCTCTGTATTAAAAGAACTTAACATGGTTTTTCTTACCGAGTTGAGCCCTTGGTCGCTGTTGGGCCTCTGGGGAGTGTTAGGGACACTTTGTGCTCCTCTGCCTCCCAGCCAGCTTGACATCCACCCAGTAACACCATGCCGTCCGTCCTCCTCCAGCATCTGCAGATGGGAAGTAAGGAAGTATAGACAAATACTAGGATGGCTATATTTGTAGAGTAGATTTTACTCTGTATTTGAAGAAGTGGTCGGATTGTTTCAGTTTTAATTGCCCTTAGTTTCCTCTCTGCCTGCCACTACTTTCTGGAAAATTATTCTGTGGAGCCACTCACTAGTTAAGCTTATATACAGGCACTCTGATTCCAGCCTGATGACAGCCCACACTCCTAGAAGAAAGTTGTGGCTTTATCATCATACTCCCTAATCATCAAGGTCATTTGCCTGGCAGGATTCAGCTGGATGGACCTCATAGTTAGAGCGTGTGTGGATCACAGATTTGGGCTGAAAAAGGCCCCAGAAGGGGGATACTAGCTGCTCTACTAAGGATGATTCTGAAAAGTCGGCCGGTTTTGTGGGACACTTGGCTGCCGTAATCACGAGTTGAGTGGAAAATTTAAATAGCATTAACAGGAGATGAGGGAGTGATGAAAAAAAAAAGTGGAACGACCTCCAACACAATAAAAATGAGTCTTCTGAGCAGTTGTAATCGCATTTGCCCCACAGCCTGTATCTGTTTTCCTTTAAGAGTGTTGGGTAATATACTTTGGAATCGTTGGATGGAGTCTCACAGGACTCCTGCCAGAAGATCGGGATAAGGAAATGCTTTCTTTTTCAGGGCTGAGCTCTGAGAGGATTTTCAGGGGCTGCTGGAGTTAAAAAAAAATTTAAAAAAAGAGTTGAACAGTGAGTTTCAGGTTTGATGGGTTGTCTCTCAAGGACTTGTTAAACTAATTAAACCTTTCAAAGCCAGAAAAGGGTCACTGTGACCTGGGACACTGACAGTTTGTAAGTAGTGTAATTCACCCTTAGACTCGACAAAAAGTGTTTTGTACAAAGTAAACAAAAACTACTGGATGAACTGCCATTTAATCTTGTACATTCATTCATGGTGCCCAGGGGATAAAACCTGCTGACTTAAGTTAACTGACTGACTTTTCCTCTAGCGCCATCAGCAGGTTGATATGTTAGTTTTTTTTTGACAGAATATTGGATTTATTGCAATTGAAATTTCAAAACACACATTCATGTTCCCTTCAAGATGCATTGTAATCACTTTGGTGATCACCAAATATTGTGTCTGATACTTGACTAAACAACTGCAAAAGTAATCACACTCCCATCAGCCTCAGCTAGCATGGCTGTAGACTCTTCAGTCTTGTTGTACGTTGTTAAATTTGTAGTAATTTTTAATCTATACTTTTATAATATTTAACAATAGAGCTGTTGACTTAGGACATTTGAGACTCCCTCGAGTCAGACTTAAGTCACATTTTTGTAAATATTTGATTTTAACTTTTCATGTGACAACACTGAAGAAATGACACTTGCTGCAATGTAAAGTAGTGAGTGTACAGCTTGTATAACAGTGTAAATTTGCTGTCCCCTCAAAATAACACATCACACAGCCATTAATGTCTAAACTGCTGGCAATAAAGGTTAGTACACCCCTAAGTGAAAATGTCCACGTCCACGGTGTCATTTCAGTGTTGTCACATAAAAAGATCATATCAATATCAAATATTTACAAAAATGTGAGGGGTGTACTCACTTTTGTGAGATACTGTATGTACATATAATGTATTTGGTAAATAAGTACAAATTATACCATTAAATTAATGTTATGTATATTAATTTATTAGTGTGGTTATGTGTGATGCATTTATTTCCAATATGGCACAATACCACAACCATTGCTCACGGACTGTTATCGCCATTATATTGCATCAACCCATTCATCCATCCATCCATTGTCAACCGCTTATCCTGCGTACAGGGTCGTGGGGACTGCATCAACCTTTTTTTTCTTACC